GACAAGCTAAGTTTTTATTAGAAGTAAAAAGGTTACTTTAATCCCTAAATTGATGAAACTCTCAAGTATTTATTAGAGACATAAAAAAAATGTTTATTAAATAATTCAAAATCCGTAAAAAAATAGAAAAGAAATGCACACCTAAAGATGATTTTGTTCAAACAATAATAATTTTTGAGCTATACAAATAACTTACAAATATTTTATTTCCTGGGGACAGAAAATTGAGAGTCAGAAACATGAGTTAATGAGTCTATAGACACTGAAATTATTAAAGAAAAAAATGAGCTTAGAAGAAACATATATTATATGTTAGAATATGTGCTTTGAAATTTAATTTAATTCCCCAAACTAGCTATTGGATTTCCCTTTGCTGGGGAATGGCCATATGTATGGTGGGTAGTTATGAGACCAAAACTAAAATTCTAACTCTCCATCATATTAGCAACTGTGACTTTGTGCAAAATACTATGTTTCAGGTTTCTTGAAAAACAAGACATCTGGTACATGTAGTATGTAGGCACCCTATATTAGTTATCAACTCTTAATAATTTAGCTAACAGGTATATGTTTTGAATTATGATAAAGATGATTTCTATACTCTAGAAGCTTAGAACACAGAGAGAGAAAGTTACTTAATAAACACTTGTTAATGACATCATAGTGTGTGGATCCCAGATCCTTATCCACAGAGTGTTATGGAACAATGGGAGCACAAAATCTAAACTGGCTGGAGAGCAAGGGTGACATACTTCTCTGGAAACTTAGTACAGGGGCCTTTTAGAGGGGAGTGTTCTTAGGATCTGTGGCAGAGCAAAGGAGGCAAGACTGAACAAAGGGAAAATAGTACTCACAACTCACACACAGCCACAGAGAGTAAAGACCTCAGCTAACCTCAGGTGGAATTATAGACCTTTACCAGTCATTCAGAATTGTCCCCAATTGAGGCAAGAAGGCTTTTACATCCCTGTATCCATCACTCCTTAGATGCAATCTATTGGCAGAAAGGAGGGGTTTCCTTGGGTGATGTGATTCTTCTCAGCCATAACCAATACCTAGAGAGGGGACCCCAGCTGGAAGCTGTCCATCAACAGCATTTCTGGGAGGTGGGAGAAGGAGTGCTTTGGCTCTGAAGGGGGCAGTGGGTTGACACATCACAGCCTCTGCCATAGTAGGTATCAAAGAAGAGTTCCTGGCATAAGAGAGAATCTGTAAGTTTTAAGACATATCTTTATGATAAAGTTGGATTTATGTATGTAGGGCAAGGAGATAGTCTAAACAAAGGCATGAAGTGCTTAGGGAAATAGCAAGTTGCAAGTTACTGGACATAATCATAATGAAGAGGAAATCTAGTAGATAAAGCTGGAGGGTGTATATGACAGCAATAGCAGGAGAAGTAGGTAGTGGCCAGATCATGAAGAGTCTTAGTGGCAGACTTTAACTTGCAGATATTTGAATGCTATCCAAATCTATGATGGAGATGAAGAACCATGTCTGATTGTTGGAAAAATCACCCTAGCAACAGTGTGGAAGAAATTTTGAAGAATATCAAGACTAGAGGCAGAAAGGCTCCATAATGGTTTGGGTGTTAGATGACAAGGCTCTGGATAATGCTACCTCTCCAGGGGAGGTATTTAATAACTTCACATTGATTGTGTGCTATTTCACATGATATGTTTATCATGACACTCTTACATTATTATTTTTTCTCCTTCACATTCTCTTGGGTTCTATAAATTTTATTTTCTATCTGAGAAAATCATTTGAAGTTTCCTCAGAGAATAAAAGGAAAACATGTGTATCACACACACATTTGTAAGCCTATCTAACCATTCACAATCCTCACTCATAATATGTTAAGAGCATGAGAAAAGTTTTTCTTTTTCAATTTGTTCTGTTTATTATGAACACAATTGATAGAAATTTCAAGATAGAATATTTTTAAACAAGAAAACTTGAGAAGTTTCTAAGTTTAATTCAAAAGAAGAAAATTGTGGAAAATGGAAAAATATAAAAAAAATTTGGCATGCATTCCATAGTTTTGAATTAAAGTTGAAATTTAGTTGTTTAGTTGAATTTGAGGTAAATGGATCAAAACCCTAAGGTTTGTTTGTTTGTTTGTTTGTTTGTTTGTTTTTGTGGTACTGGGGTTTTACTCAGTGTCTCATGCATTCAGAGTAAGCACTCTACCATTGAACTACACTCCCAGTCCTTTTTATTTTGAGACAGGGTACCATTAAGTTACCCAGGCTGGCCTCCAACTTGCAATCCTACTGACTCAGCCTTCCTGGTAGCTGGGATTATAGGCATGTACCTCCAGTGCCACATCTTTAAAATGGGTCTAATAATACCTATGTCAAAAAGTCACTATGAGGAGGTTAACTAACTAAAGTGTCAAAATCATTTTGATAAATATAAAATACTGTCTCACCCTTAGTTTTAATAATTTGAATGATTTATCACAAAGGAAGAGGTAGCAGTTCAGAGCAAAAAGAGAGGAATGGAAGAAGAATACCTCCAAGCAAGGATGAATGGCTGGAGTTGCAACTTGGGGCCACAGGTGGTGCCACTGACCCTGGAGAAGCAGTGGTGGCGTAGGGAGGGACAAAATCTCCAGGGGTTAGTTCTCCTTTTTAAGCTTACCCTCCCTTTCTTTGAAAGAGCGAGTGACAGCATTCTATAGTATGTTTCCTTTAACTCTCCACCAGAAAAACCATTATATTTTAATGAGTTCTGATTTCTCATTTGATACCAGTGTGAATCCTGGGCTTAATTGCATGAGAAAGTAATGGTTGCAGATCTGCCATCTGTGAGGTCACTACAACAGCATGACAGCAGAAACTACGCTGCACTAGGCAGGAAGCAAAAGTCTTTTTCACTCCTTGGGAAAAATGTTATCTGTTTTCTGGACTTCAGTTTTCTTTCCCCCAAAACCAGAGATTGGGAAATAAATTGTTAAGTTACGTTTTAGCTTTACGATTCTGATTCTCAAGGTTCACAAATTTCTTAAGAAAGGTAAGTGAAAATCCCAGAGTGTGTACCTCACTCTACCTGGGAAGACTTCCTTTCTGATCATAGATCCATATCATACGGGTGAGGAAATGGAATCATAGATGCTGAGAGAATGAGAAATGCTCAGGAGGACAGCTGGGGCCAGAGGAGGGGGGACTCCAAGAGGAGGCCAGTGTTCCTTCCTCATGCAGATGGCAAAATAGCATTCACACCACACATCCAACCCTACAACAGACGCCAGCTCTCCTCCTAAACCTTCCTAGACCCTCCTTGTTCCCCTAACACTATCCCAGCCACACATGCATGTATGCACACATACATAGCTCCCCCGACCAACCTCCCACCACCACCTATAGAGAATTGAGAGACATTCTGGAAATGAACCAAAGCAAATTCTTCAGGAGCCTAGAAAAAGACCAAACTAATTATTTGCAAGTCCTATTGTCAAGCTGTATGACATTAGCCAAGTTTCACTTAGTTTCAAGTTTCAGGTCAAAACATTTACATAAGAGTACCCCTGATGTTTTACAGTGGTTTTTCTTGTTATAAAACTCTCAAAATATTGACCTCCTTGGAAACATTTCTTCTTCCACCCCATTGCATTTTATAAATGTCTCATCTTTGGTTTCTCAAATTGCTATTAAGTAGACCCTTGCTCTCCCATGAGACTGTCCACCCTTTAGATCTATTTCTCACCCTCTGTTGTGGTGACATCATCACTATTTATTAAGAAAATTATTATTATGTCTCCAGGGATTCAATTCTATATGTAATCTATTGAAAGAAAATTAATTGAGCCATGAAAGAGATGAAGATTTAAATTCCTAAAGAATATTATGTTTTAAAAAGACAAGAAATAGAAACAGTCCCATTACAAGGAGATAGCTATGCTGGTTGGAATAAAGCACAAGGATTTGGTTGCTACCATTGCAATCTGCTTGAAGCAATGTGCCATTCTTTTAATGTATACAATCATGATTCCAAGACACACATGGAGTAGTCACAATACTGAGTTAAATTTCTCCAGTACCAATAATTAAAAAAAATCATTGTATTTCTGATTTACTAATTATAAAATTGAGGCACACAAAATGGAGGACATTTCAAGTATCACATTAATGGATAGCAATATAAGAGCATCTAAAATATTCTCCTTGTTCTCCAGGAATAGCAACCAGGTGTTTATGACTACTTAGCAATACAATTTGACTGTGAGGTCTGTATGACTAGAGACCCCCAAATGCCCAGTGCCTAATAGCATTCTTGGAACTTAAAAATACCACAATAAGTATTCAAGGAATAAATTTACACATCATGTTGTTTTCATAGCCATAGTTTTAATTAATTTTTCTAGCATGAAAGGTGCTAATTGAAAATAAATTCAGAAACATCTAAAATTAAGTGTATAGTTTGGCTATTTTTATATCCCAGTGATGCATTTTGTATATGTATGTTATTATTTGGATTTATTTTCACCCTTTTATTATTATTTACAAACAAAAAAGTACCTTTTAGTTATGTCTCATCTCCTCTTTTATAATCACTCAAAAATATTTAAATTGTTCTCTTGTCACCTTCAAGATAATTAGAAAAATAATAATTTAAGGAAGATAAAGAAAGTAGAACAACTAAAAAAACACTTTGGTAGAGGGAAGAAATTAATTATTTCAAGCCACTGAGTTGAAGTCACTTCTGTTATGAATCTTACATGTATGAACCCAGTACACTTCATAGCAATAACTAAAACAACACCAACAACCCTATTATACTTATACTTCAGATTTATTTAATCAATCAGTAGAATTCAAGCCAACGTTAAAGGTAGTCAGTCTATGAAAAGTAAGATGTAAGAAGTCTTTACTGTTTGTTTTTTTTTTTTTCATTTTGAAAGACGATTTTCATCATTTTCTTTCAGACTTTTTCACGAACATTCCTATATGGCCAGATCAAAGGTAGTCAAGTACTACGCTGAATGAAAGATGACTTACCTGTAGTTTTGCTTTTCGTTTCCTATGTGGAACCTGTCATACTGTGAGTAAGCTCGGTTCCCTTCCCAGTCCATTAACTCAATCCTTAGTGTGTACTGCCTCTGACTGGTTATGGCAAAAATAAACTCATTTCCCAGCCAATATTCACCAGAGGGATTTCCAAAACCCTGGGAAAGAAGATGGACATGAACTTGTTACTCCAGAGGGAAACTTTTCATGTTTAGCCTTTAACTATTTTCTAAGGAACAATTAAAAAAAATATTATCTTTTAAAGTCAAGATATTTCTTTCAGACTTTTACACACTGATTTTTTTTCTAATATTGATTTACTTTAATAGTCTTCTGTTATATGTGCTTCCATTTGAGGCTTATGTCTAATTCTTATTATAGGAAAATCTGTGTTCATCAAATATATATATATATATATATATACACACACACACACACACACACACACACACACACATACATAGATAGATAAAGTATTTTTGGATTAAATGAATTTGTTCAATAGGTTTTACCAGAAAACCTTCCTCGATTGCATTTGCTTTCAAATATGTTTCTTAAATTCTGGTTATTCTTTTGAATATAATTTGAGTACTATCAGTGTAGACTTTTTCATTGAGTACTATCAGACAAGTTATTTAATAATACTGTTTTGTGTCTATTCAGGAGTCCAATTTTAGACCCATAACTTTATGGATTATTAGACCTCTGATTTGAGCAGTTTCACATTCTTATTTTTTAATATTATTAAGAAAATCTGTAAGTCTGCAACCATAATCATTCACATTGCTCCACTGGCATGAATGTAGGTTTGGAAGGCTGACTGGTAAGAGCTGAGTAAGTACACATGGCTGACCATTGTGCCTCTTAATATCAATATGGCTCTGTTCTTCTCTTTGGGGCAAGCCCAGTCATGGCTGTTAGGTACTCAAAATAGTTTCTCTGTGGGAAGAAAGAGAAGTGGTCCCCAAATGTGAGCCAACTCTAAGTGTTGGAGATGTTGGTGACAGGGAAATAAAGAACCCTAAAGAGCTGCTGGCATTCTAGATTTGGGGTATTCACAATTGTCTAAGAAAGTATTGCCTAATAATACTTGAAGATCAGTTCAATTCTTGGCCTACATATTTGTTTTACTGACACAGATGGGAGGCCCATATAGGGAGCTAGGGAGACAAAATATTATAGCATTTTACATTCACATTCAAAGAAGTAATCTTAAACACATCTGTGTGTGTGTGTGTGTGTGTGTGTGTGTGTGTGTATGTGAAAAATATGGTTGAGTCTCAGCTGCCCCACTGAATTATCACCACTGGAGTTCTGGTTAAAAACAAAAATACCTAGCTCTCCACTGAATCAAATATCTGAGAACAAAACACATGAATCTGCATCTGAATCAAGTCCTCAATTTGTCATGCACACATTTAAAAGAACTTCAGTAATGACAGGACACATTCCCAATGTTTCACAAAGAAACAAATTCTGGTTAGCTGAGATATTTATTAATAAATGTCTAATCCATGAGGAAAGTACTAAAATAATTATGACAGTTCTTGTTTTCTCAGTAGATGACAGAATTTAGAAAACTTTTTCTTCCTTTCACACTTAATGTTTATCAGTTTTATAGAGTCTAATTACAAGAGAAGTTTTCATAATGGCTTTCGCCTTTAACAAAACTAAGCAACGAATCAATGTTCTCCATTCCTCTTTGTGCTGGTGCCCAGAGTGGACTCAAATTGCATTAATTACATGGGGCATGGCTGCCTCTGCCAATGGAATTGCTGGCCAAAAGCCGTGGTGTTTGGTACCAAAACCATTTTTTTTGACAGTTCTGTTATTATGGTGGTGATCTTTATAATGTGTTATGCAAATGGGTTAAATATTAGTGGGGAGAGATGGTTTTTATAAAACATAATTTAAATATGTTGACTTGCTCAATAAAAACAATCATTCAAATCTTTTTGAATTAAGTGCTGCTGAGAACCTGAGATAAGACTGCGAATAATAGAATTTTAGAGGACTTTAAATTTTACATTACTTTGCATATGTCTTTAGATACTGTTCTATTTTACAGAAATGAAACCAGACATTGGGTATATTCTCTTAGGAGAAAGTTTTATAGAGAAACCATTGACCCCAAATCACACACTTTGGTCCTACTTCTTAAAAAGTGGGTAAATGAACACATATTTTTTATATTTAAAGTTAAAATGACATGTGTTGCATATGTATGCACACTTTTAAAAATAATTCCCCAGTTTAACTTAGTTTCTTGATTAATTGAACATTCTTGACTCAAATTGTACTGAAGATCATCTACCTTTAGCTCAAAGCAAAAATATAGGATTCCTTGGAGTTATTCCAGTGGCTGGAATAACTTGCTTCTCTGCTCCAAAGATACTCAACTCACACTTTGCAAAAGTTCCACAGTGGCAGGAAATACTAGAGCAATTCTGAACATGCTAAGAATTTTATATATTCTTAAGGCAGCTGGTGCTACATACCAAGGAAAAGAGCAAAGCTTACCTTCTCCAATGCACAACCAGAACAAAAAGTTACAGGGGGCTGCAAGTCAAAGAATTAACACTTTCTTTATTGCAGCATCCCCTGGGAAGAAAAAGAAGACCACTGGGGTTTTCTTTGCATTTCTTCTCAGCTCAGACATGCCAGAACTCTCCCTATGGCCACTTGATGATTCCCTTTTCTGTGCAGTCATTGAAAAGGGATTCAGCAATTATACTAGATGTGAATAAAGAGGCTGGGAATGATGAAGTGTTAAGTTTTAGGTCACATATTTCCATGCTGTTGAAAGCCTTGTGTGAATAAAACTCTCCAGCTTCCCCAGGGAAAAGTGCAGTGATCTCGGATGAGCTTCAGAAATGAACAAGCATTAAAGTCCTTCCTACAAAAGCTGGTCCCTGTCTCAGCATGCAGGACTTTGTATCCCCCCTGAGTGGAGGGACATACCACTTTCTAAACAGTTTGCTTTTTCTTCTTTCAGAAAGAAGCAACTGAAAAGAAAGTGGTGGGATTGACCTCTAGAAACCAAAATTGAATTTCATGCACTTTCCCAAAAAACTGTCCAAATGAACAAAATATTTGACTGCCATGAATCAAAATGGCCGTTAGATGATGTAGGGAGGAACCCTTCTAATAGCCAAATGCAGTGAAGCAGAAACAGCTGTTACATCATAAAGATGAAAAATATGCAAAAGAAGGGGAAATGGGAATGGATTCCCACATTACTAAGCTGTCTATTGGATAATTTATCAAGCACAACGGCCGATCTGATGTGTAGGAACAAAGGCTTGGTTTAAATTAAATAACCTCCATTTCCTATCTCTCCTCGAATTCAAAGCCTTTCTCTGAGACATATTTACTAAGGGATTTTCTGCTTAACTTCGGAGCCTCAGTTTTCTTATCTGCAAAACAGGAATCTAGAGCATTCCATGTACAACATTGTAAGAATGCAATATGCCTATGGCACCTGACTGCGTGCTGATACAGGAAAACCACATAACAAAAGTCTAGGTGTTGCTGTTGTTATAGTTAGAAGACATATCACAAGACTTAGTCATTTTGTTTGGTTGCCTTTCTTCCAAGACACTATGTGCTCTTTGAAAGTAAGCAGGTTTCTTTCTATTTCATGTAAGAGAACAAAAAATTCCAGGGTCTTGTCTTTGCTGAAAATTCACAAGGAGAATATTGAGATAATTATTTAAAAGGCTTTTATAGACACTGGAGACTAATGTACTGTTGTTTATTTGTGTATACAAAAAATACTGTAATTTTAATCCAAGAAATTAATTACCAAATGAAAAAGTAAAAAGCCCACTGACTATAACTGGGGTTAAACTGGCACAAAGGAAAGTATAGACCACCTCAATTTTGTTTCTCAATTCTAAAAGAGGACCTTTCTCCTTCAACTCTCCCTTGGTCCTATTGTTTTAATTGCTCTTTCTCCATGTTCCACATGTTTTAAAATCTACAAAACAGGCAATTTTAAGGTCTTATACTTGTGCTAATAAATGATTAGTTCTGATAGTTGCTTTCAACTAAAGGCACATATCTTAAAAAGCTGTGGAGTAGCCAGGGTTGGTGGCACACTCCTGAAATTCCAGATGCTCAAGGGGGCTGAGGCAAGTTGGAGGCCAGCCTCTACAACTAAGCAAGACCCTGTCACAAAACAACAAATAAAAAGGGCTGGGGGTGGAGCTCACAGGCAAAGTGCCACTGGGTTAAATTGAAAGAGAGAGAGAGATCGAGAAAGAGAGAGGAAGGAAGAAAGGAAGGAAAGGAGGGAGGGAAGGAGGAAGGAACAAAGAGTGAGCTGTGGAGCTTTTGAAAAATAGAGATGACTTAGTTTCTCCATGGAGATTGAATTTAGTATGTCTCAGGTGGGCTTGGGGATTTGGATATTTAAAAGGTTTCACGGGTGAGTCTGCTATGAACCAAGGTGGAGAACCATATAAATATAGGTGGAATAACTATTCAGATGCAAATTAGATTATACTAATCAGACAAAATTATCAGAGTAGGGCAGGCATAAAATTCCTCCATATCAGGAAGCAAGTTTTGGTTATATTTGCAGGATTGTCTGAAACAAAAAAACAAATCCATGCCTAAATTACTGAAATCACTGATGCACAACTCAAAGTACAGGTTTATACACTATTGCATATAACAGTTTACCACAGGTTCGTATTTCAGCTCAAATATCCTGCAACATTCATAAAAATAAAAACTGAAGCTTTACAAAATATTGTGCTGATGTTAAAAATAGCAGCAAATAAATAAATGTTAGTTATAAAAATAGATTTTCTTCTTTTTCTTGAGTAAAATCCAAGGATGCTATGTCATGTAGTTTCATGAAGCTATTATGTGTAGTTGTGTCAGTTACAATCATATAAAAGATTCTGATAACACAATTCAGATCCATTGCTGATCAATTTCATTTCTCCTCTGGGAGTTTAATAAAAGGGCAAAATATACTAGAATTTAACAAAAAAATAATAATACTTACTTTAAAATGGCCTTAAGAGGTAAATTTTATTTAAAAAAAATCATGTAGGTGAAAGATCAACATTCATTAGTTTTTGCCAAAACCTGCAGAAATGTTCAATTTTGGCTTGTGCTTTTTCCAAGTTAATAAAATTATTGTCTCTGATACTTTATTTGTTTTGTCTCATAATGATCACAGGAAGTGTTGACTTTTTATAGAAGAAACAAAATTGAAACCAGACACGGTTTCAATAATCCCACTTCAGACATACCAAATCCAAATCTCCATGGGGAAACTAAATCACCTCTGTTTTTAAAGAGCTCCACAACTATTTCTGATATACACTCCTAGTGAAAGCAATGATAAAAACTCTTAATTTATCATAATGGGTATAAGTCCTATGAGTTTCAACTTTTTTCATATAAATGATTAAAGAAAATAGGCCTGAAAAGTGGCTTTCCAAAGGTGCAGTAATACACACTTAGAGTCATTTAAAAACATCTATACTAATTGCTGAGACTTCCAGCTCAAGAAAGAGCAGAAGAACTATTTATTTCATAATTTTTAAATTCTTGAGCATTTTTCTCTTTTTATTTTGAAGATGTTTAAAATGCGGTTAAAAATGTGTGTTTATTTTCTTTCCAGAAATAAAGAACTCCCAGAAGGTATGATGCTCAGAATGAAATGTTTGTGTCAAAGGAAGCTTTGTTGGGGGGCGGGGGAGGGTTTGAATACAAAGCAAGTTTGTCTCCAGGGCATTAGCCACTGCTTACTATAAAGTTAGGTCACTTAGGGTACTATTTGGGGTTCCAAGCTTCAGTGGGCTTTATATGCAAAAGCATTGCTGTGTTATTTCTGGAGGCTGCTAAATGGTGCCCTTGTGACTTGAAGGAACTAATATCAGTCCCTAAATGTCTCCAATAAAAGCCCATTCCTGACTTCTCCCTTAGCAAACATCTTTACAAATCTATAAACCAGATTTGGTGCATCTCCTCCTAAAAAAAGGTTAAGTGAAAACAAAAAACAAAACTCAGGTAAAAGACTTTTTTTGTAGGATTAAAGCCAATGCCCAGAACCGAATAAATTGCAAACCTCTTATGCTGAGAGAGGTCTAAAGATAGCAATGTATAATACATATTTGTAATTTCATGGGTTGATAATTGTAACACACAATTCCACAAAACTTGTGAGGCAAGAGACAACCCACAGATATCAACCAGAAAAAAAGGGAAGGAGAGAAGTAAGGCAGAAAGGGCGGGATGAAATGTTATGGCTATACTCAGTGTGCAAGAAAGTGTAGCCTCCTGGCACACACACAGTACAGGGGGAAGACTAAAGAGGAGGGAGTGCATGCCAGGAAGTCTTTGTTTTCCCCCAAGGATTCGCACCCCAAGCTGAAGAAGTGGACTTCAGGCTCACTTGACTTTGATGCAAGGAATAGAAATAGGTGTGATTGACAAGAATTGACATTAAGGAGACCATGTCCATTCGTGGTAGAATCGTGTTATTTTGTCTTTAGGTTTTTTAAAAAAAAGGCTCTGAAGAAAACAGATGAAACACTTTTTACCATGTGTTTTGATGAATATTACCAACTTGTGACATAAGATGAATTATTTTATTTTTTAAAAAGTCTTCAGATTCATTTTTGCCAGAATGTTTTACAATTTTGGAGCTGATTATATTTCATGACCATGAAGAATTGACATTGAGGTGATAAATATTTCAAGTTTGAATAAAGCATAATAATCTTTCATATTCAGAAAAGGGATAAGGACAAACTGAATAAAAACTATGATTAAAGAATAATCCCAGTCTTGTTCCAATAACAAAAAAGAATTGCTTAAAAGTAGATTCATTTGTTTGGTAAATACTTACAAGACATGAATCAATTCCATATTTAACAAGTCAGTATCTCTTACTTAATGTGCCTGGCTTGCCAAGGCAGCAGATGTTTACAGCTAATAATTCACCATTTTGGAAAATCACAATGATGACAACTTTATGTTCATTTTCCATTATCATTCATTTTAATAATAATGCATTTCAGATTTGCTTGATCCTATATCAGTTGTTTGACTTCTAAGATAACTTCTTCACATCCCATTTTAGTGGTGAAAATTATCATGAGTTAAAGTAGTTAGCAAAATAATACTTTGGGCAAAATTAATAAATGTTTTGCAGACTTTGATGTTTTAATTTTGAATAATAATAATAATAGTAACTAGTGTTTATTAAAAATTCAGTGTGTCCAAGTGCTTTACTAATATGATTACTAATCTCCACAGCATCCCTGAAAGGCTCCAAATGTATAATTATTGTCCCATTTTAATGAATGAGAAAGCTAATGTATGTGTATGAGATTTTTCCTAAATTCAACCCACTTAGGAATAGTGGGGTAAAGAATAAACCTACTAATACATACATATTTCAAGTCCACTTTTAGAACTTAGGTAATTCCCCCCGTGTGTTTATAGAATCATGTAAACAGAAAGAGTTTTAGAATCTAACCTGACTACCATTCCTATTCTCTTACTGAAAAACGAGGATCTATCTCCTACTTGGGTGCTTACACTGATGAGGGAGGGGACTTGTCCCTGAGTAGAAAGTCCATTTATTGTTAGAATTTAGCACTAGAGAGTTTTGCTTTTACTTAGTCAAATTTTGCTTTTATGTTATATTACCCATTCATTATAGAACTCCCCTTAAATTATTGTAGAAATGTGGAGTTTAGTTCAGTAATTTGGGGGTAGAGCTTGATGTCCTGTGTTTCTCTAAGCGCCCAGATGATGCTAATGCTGCTGGTTCCCAGTCCACATTTTGTGTAGGAGGGTCTGGTACTACATGCTTCCATCCAGTTAGTTAATTAGGTAGCTATCAGACAGGACTATGCCTAATTCTTTTCAAATATTTCTTCAGGTTAAACAATCCAAATCATTCACTTGCTCCATACATGATTTCCAGATTCTTCACATATTGATTATAATTCTTAAGATTGTCCACTTGGTTAAAAACCTCCAGAACTGAAAACATCTTAAAGTAAATTCTGTAATTTTTGTGCCCTAAAACCTGCTACTAATGTAGAGTAAGTACACTAATCTTGGTTTTTCAGCAGCCAACAATTCAAAAAACTTTGAGTCACACCAGTCTCTCTGTGGAATTCTGTCTTGTTGGTCTCAGCCTACCTTTCTATCTTGAGTCTATGGTTCATTAAAGACATTGGATTTCAACTCCGTGTCCCTCTAAATTGTTAATTAAACTGCATGCTAAAGGTTTACCTGAGAATTTCATAAAAATATTCTAGATAAAGTGACAGCCCTAGAGAGCACCATTCATGAACTAAAACCCCTTTGTTCGGTGATATTAAACCAACTATGAAACTACTAATTGGTGAACTATAATTTCAACCAACCACAGGTTTGACACTGTCTACAAAGTACTGAGATGGAACTTTTCTAGTATAGAACTTCCATCACATTTTTTTTCATCTTCAGAGAGAAAAATTTGTCAAGAGTTCAAAACAAAGTTATTCATAAATGTTACATATAAAATAATGAGAATTCACCAATTAAGGAAATCCTTTTCTTTTACTGTGATTTGACATTCTGTCATCAGGTTTTAATAGTCAATATTTTAGGCACTGAATATGAGATTATTGGATTATAGATTAATTAAATCATCTGCTATGTTACCTTGAAAAAGTTGGTCTCTCTAATCTGCTTCCTCTTAAAATAGGGATAGTATTAAGTAATCAGTTTGATATAAAAATTAGATAAGACTAACACATAGTAAGGATTGAAAACATCAGCTACAAGAATGTTGGCAATGACTATTGAGAGGACAATGGTATGTCTGCTTTTATTTTAGAGGCACCAATGAACAGTCTTTCCTTTCTTACCTTTGTGTTCTCCTCTCATCTTGAATCTAGTCTGGGCCCATGGTCAACTTTGACCAATAGAAAGCAGTAGAGATGTCTCTGTGCCATTTCTATGAAAAATTGTGCTCTATAGGTGTAATATGAATTGTAATGCATTCTGTTGTCATATATAACAAATTAAAATTTTTAAAAAAAATTTAAAAAGAGACTAAAAGTATCTCCTGTTCATGGGGATGCCAACTGTGACATGAAGGGCCTGATAACCAGGGTACTCGGAGAAGTCCAGAGGAGCCACATGAAAGTTCTCGTGGAGGAACTTATTCAACAGCAGCAATTGCCAGCCCTGAGTGAGGCCATTACTATCACCTACCTGGCAGGACACCCATCCTGCCTGATCTGAGTTCTGGCTTCCCTTTCCCTCATTCAAATAGGAATGGACCCAGACAATCCACAGCAGTTCATGAAATAATTATAGTAATACATTTCTCTTTCTGATGCACACATGGAAATCATTTACTCAAAATGATTTATGAGTGTTTTGTGTCTAATGAAAATAATGTCCTTAATGTAAGCATCATTTTTATTCTTAAATTAACTTGAAAGCATCTAAAAATGCAAAGGTTCATCATATAATCTGATGAAGATAACTTTGTGAAAAAACATCAAACACCACCGTAAATTCTCCCATCTTACCATTTTATATTCTTTCCAGCCTCTTTGGAAATCTAGACTTCCATCTTCACGATGCTGTATGACAGTCCAACCTCCCCCGTTCACATCCATGTTGCAAAATACCTGGCAGATGAAGGGAAAAGAAAGGCAGGAGGGAAATATGTTTATTTTAAAGAAGGATGTATCTAACATATTTCAAAATAAAAATAGGTCTAAAGACCTGCAAGAAAAAGAACTACATTGGGAAAAATATTAATTCAGACATATTGATTATTTCTTCCCATAATTCATATTTGAGTTACTTCTGATCAAATTCTATCAATGATGCATCAATTCCTTGTAACAATTTAGATCAGCTAGCTGAAAATTCAGTCTCAGAGTATAAAAATTAAAAATCAACATCTTAAGTGGAAATAGGCACTTGTATAAGTTTAAATTTTAAAAATGCTACTAAAGTTTCTAAAACTAGGCCATTTTATATTTAAAGCATAACTCACATTTTTTCAATATTTTAGTATTGGTAATATAAGATTAAAGGTTTGGGTAATATAATTTTTTAAAAGTTTATGTATATATATAAATATTTCATTATTTCATATTTTATTTCATAACTGATAGATATTTACATACTATGATAATTATTCTTGATGGCTGAATACTACATGAGGGGCAAAATTTGGTCCTCAGCACATGGAGAACACATTATTTGCTTAAGTTTTAGTCATGAACAATAAGAGGAGAACATGACATACTATATTCCTTCCGACTGTGACAAGCATTTCTTTCCCATGTGGAAAAGTTATCCAAATCTTTCAAAGACTTAGGCTTATTTCAATTATTCTAAATGTAATAGCATTTATTTAAACAACTGATTCATTTTCCCCAGAGTCCACCCTAGAAGGGAAACGTATCTGTGATGGGATGATGTTTGGAGAGTAATCACTGGAATTGTTGTAGCATGGATGTGGCAGTTGATTATTCAAGGGCTGGGCTATGGGGAACACCATTCTGCAGCAACTGAATATTAAAGCATTTTGAAGGTTGGCTGACAGTGTGGATATGATGCAGCCACAGCAGTCAGGCGGTGGAGACACGGGACTAAGCTCTGATTAAAGGAAAAACCTCAATGTTTTCCCTGTGGCATTACATTTGGAGCACAAATGGCCAAAGGGTATGAAAGCAATGGAAACAACTGTCATTCAAAGGGCAAACTACTCATGTACTTCCTCAGAGTGAAAGGAACGGAGACACACATGCCTATGCGAACATATGAAACAGGACAACCGCCTCTCCTGAGGGCTCCCCTCTAACTTGACAACAGCCACTGACCCTGTATGTCATTCCTCGGAACTGATTCACCTCCAAGATTATAAATTTTAAATTGCCCTCCCTTTCCCAGCGTTACCGCTACTGACCCTTCTCCATCTGCTCTTTGTCCTTAACCTCTAATTAGTCTTCCTTAATTCTAATTTATTCATTCACTTACTTTTTCACTCAGCAAGTGTTCTTGGGCATTGGTTTGACATTACAACTGAGGATATTAGGATGAATAAAATATGTCTCATCAACTCAAAACACGGCAAAGTTGCAACACTGACTGATCCTATAGGATTAAGAGACACTGAAATCCATAACTTTTAACTCCAGTGACCTGAAGAATAATAGTGACAACGATCTAAATGAGAGATGTATAAAAAGAGCTAACATGCGAGAGAAGAAAATGATGATGATTTGGGATATTTAATGTTTTAGGTAGCTATCCAAAAAGAAGCGTTAATTGACAAGTTAGAGATGTTCTACTGAAACATCTGGAGATAAGACAAAGGATAAAATTTTGCCGAGAATAAGGAGATAAAAAGAAGTCATTAACAATGGTGTTTTTGTTAAGTGCCAGGTAACTTAAGCACTTTATATGCATTAATCTCACAACAACTCTATGAAGAAGGTATGATTATCATTTCCATTCTACTCGTGAAAAAAGTGAGAGTATTTCAGAAACTTACCAATGGTTATACTTAAGCATTAGTACTGGGTCCAAGATTTGAATTGAATTTAGGGTTTGAACCCTATGTTTATCTAATTCAAAATTATTGGGAGTAATGTACTTAAAATCAGCAGTTGGTCACATGAAAATAGATACATAATTTAAAGAGCTCAAAACAAAAAAGATTGTATTTTACAGATAACATGTATTTACATTATGTAATATATACTCTGTGTATAATATTTAATGCATTATACATAGTTATTATATGGAGATGTGAGGGAGAGGGAGGAGGGTCTATGAGTGGACTTTGGTGAATAACTGGTGGAGATAAAATATATTAGTAACCTAGAGATGGGTAGGTATTCGGTGTCATTTGCTGCTATTCCCAGGGCCTATAGTATTGCCTAGCCAAAGGTGGGTATTCAAAGAATATTTGCTGAATAAATAAAGATATAATAAATATAAAATAAGAGGGCTGAGGTTGTAGCTCAGTGGTAGAGCACTTGCCTCGCACATGTGAGGCCCTGGGTTTGATCCTCAGCACCACGTAAAATAAATAAATAAAAATAAAGATATTGTGTCCATCTACAACTAAAAAATATTTAAAAAAATAAAATAAGAAAACTTACAAACAACACTGGGTATAAATGCTGAGTTTGGGATGTGATAATCAAATATTTGAGAGAAATCAAGATTAAGATTAAGAAAATATACATGTAAATTTGAAATGAAGAAGCCATTAGTGATCTTGATCTGAGAGATTGCAGGACTGCTATGAGTATAAAATCAGATGGCACAGCTTAAAAGGGGGCATAGGTGGTAATTCAGCAGGTGAAACTTTCCCAATGACATTTAAGTCAGAACAAAGGAAAATAAAAATGTCAAGGACACATTTTGCTAAGGAAAACAAATTTCACTCATTTCCCAATTAAATTTTACCCTGCTGTCATTGGTAATCCCAAATTTTCTCTTTCCTTCCTTCCTTTCTTTCCCTCACCCTTCTTCTTTCTGTCAGAAGAAAAGAGTATTTATAGAAAAAAACTAGGCTGTGTAGTTTTTAATGGATGTTAAGTGTTATCAAAATTCTATGGCTTTGTTTTACAATCACTCACAAATTTTTAGAAAAGACAACTTCCCTTTTAAGAAAGTATCCAGCTATTTGGAAATGTTAAGAAGTGCTGAGATTGCATCTTAGATAGAGACCCAGAGAGAGACAGAGCTTCATGGGGAGGTAGAAATTACCCAGGCAGATCACAGGTTTGGAAGCTGAGATTCTGAAAGGTTAAGGGATTTGACATATGTGTCACAATTCTTATCAATTCTCCATGGCAGCAATGATAACGGTCCAACAGTCTCCATTTGTTGAATTTGGGTATAAGAGAGCTGAATGACACATTGCTCAGGGGCACAGACTTGAGTGCTGGATTGTGTGGATTCAGATTCCCACCTCTGCTCTCTTACATTTTTTGTGAGGATTAAATGAGCCAATGTGCATAGAGTTTTTAGAGTATTGTTTGGCAAGTAATAGGAATTGCCATTGTTCTTATCTTTTACATGCATTTTATTTTATTTATTTATTTGGTACTGGAAATTGAATCCAGCACTTGTCCACTGAGCCACTTTTCCAGCCCTTTTTAATATTTTTTTTTATTTAGAGACAGGGTCTCCCCAAATTTCTTAGGGCTTTGCTAAATTGCTGATACTGGCTTTGAACTCAAGATCCACCTGCCTCAGCCTCCTAAACTACTGGGATTACAGGTGTACACCCATAGCACCCGGCTCTTACATGCATTTTACAGATAACATGTATTGATATTATATAATATCACTGTGTATATAATATTTAATATATTATATTATAGTTAATTATATAGAACATTGCATATGATTCATATTATTAACTTGCTATGAATAATAAGGAATATAGAAAATTCAAAATATGCAGAAGTTCAATAAAATTTCCCTACAATTATATTCACTGGCTTCTAGTTAATAGTATTGGCATCACTAATCTTTGATCATGGTGCTTTTCAGTCTTTAAAAAGTTGGATTCACTCTTTTTAAAAAAAGCAGTTATTTTTTCAATAGTCACAAGAAAAATTAAAATCCTATGCCTAACAGATGAAAGAAGTTCCAGAAAATAGAAGATCAGTTTCAGAAAGATCTGAAACATAAAAGGACCTGAAAAGTTCACTTGCCAACACTCTGTGGTCAGTGCTATCTGGCGGTTCTTCCTGTGGACAAGGCCCACTACATTTACTATGCCTGTTGCATGTATTGATCATATGACTTGGGCTTATTTCTATCCAAGAAAATATTGAACTGGCTCCTATCCCAGGCAAGGTCAAAGCTCTCAAGCATTAAACACCTTTTAACATAATACAGAGGTCTAAACCCAAACAAAAAGGGGAAATTTGATTCACATACTTTTTATGCTTTTATGTTTCATACAAGTTGGAATGATTAGCTTTGTGGACATTAATTATTTTTCCATAACCTTAAATCAAAAAGTCTTAACACGTTTGTTACAGTCCTTTTCCAAGAATTAGGGGAATTATGAGTTCAGAGCAAATTTTTAATATTTTACAATAAGAGTTATGATTTAATGGTTTATTTTTTTGGATGAAACTAAGATGGCTATAGGGCATTTGGTTTTAGAAAATTATGAAATGAAAGAGAAAATCCTGTTTCCTAGTACCATGCATTGAAGGGAATTCAGAGAAGGAAATAACCCCAAATACTATCAAAGCAAAAAAGAAAGAAGTAAATTTTCTATCTTCTTGAAAAATTAAATCACCCTAGGAAACCACATGACATTTGAAAAGACAACACTTTTCAAGCTTTTGCAAACAATTCTGTTTTAGCACGGAACAATGTCAGGCAAAACAAAGACTAACAATTCTGCTTAAAAGATGAATAACTTATTTTAAAAGATTTTATCAATTGTCTAAAATAGCTCAATTTTATTGATTAGTTCATATTCCATAGTATATGTATTTGGAGTTATTTTTATAGGCTTGTTTTAAATTTCTTGAAATTTTGAAGGCATTAAAATGATCAAAACTATTGCTAAGCATATCCAAGTGTAGCACCAAACTTTTTATCTATAATGCCCAGTCTATTAAGAAGGGTAAAAGTAAAAAAAAACAAGGTTTTCTTTTAGTGATTTTTACATGTTTAAAGAAAACATCGTTGATTTTATATCAGATAGAAGTAGAAAGTAAAATTACAGGATAGTGGGGAGTGAGGTAGATTATACTAAGAACATGAATCAATTTACTCACTTTCTAATAATAAACCCTTGCCTATGTCACTTGGAAGTAAGTTCATGTTCAAAATTATAAATTGTGCAACTTCAGTCATCACTAATATAATCATCCTGCTTAAGCCTTTAGTTAAGATGGTGCAATATGGAGTCAGAGTCCTTTGTTTCAAAGCCAGTTTTCAACATTTACCAACTACGTCATTTGGGCAAACTATTTGTCTAAAATAGAGGTAATGGGGACACTCATTTCATATGATTTTTGAAAAGAATAAATGAGTGAGCGCAAATGAAAGAAAAGCAGTCAGATCAGGAGCTGGCAAGCCGTTAATGCTCTGTACATTTGAACCAATGCATTAACCAGCTTCTGAGTTTCTTTGAGGAAATTCATACAATATGTGTTCTTACCAGGGTCACACTAAGTGATCATAATAAGGGATTTAAGTCAAAATGTGCTACTTATTAAAAATAAATATAGTTACATCAGTCTGAACAATAGAGCAGTATTACCACTTGTGAGAGAATCCATGATCATAAAGGGGAAGGAATAAAGTAAGAAAGGAAACACCTAAGTTCAGAGTCTCTCTCCCCCCAGCTCAGTCACCCCTGTTCTTGTCACACTCCGCTACCATTTGTTTTATTTCCAATAAAAACAAACCCAATCATAACTAAACCTACTGATAGTCCTGACCAAGTCATGTAAGAACTTCTTTCCTTTGAGAAGCCATTTTTAGAGCAGTTTCTACAGTGCTAAAATTTGCCTCTCACGGATATACTCTGATATTCCTGTGAACTTGCTCAAGTTACAATTTTTTCATAAGCTCACAACTCAGAAATTTCATCCAAAAGTTCCTTGACATTGTGGATTTAATGTTTTACCTTTTTTTTTTTTTTCCAAATTTAGGGTCTGGGTGATAGAAAACATCTCTACGATGCAAGGAGCACTGGGTTTGTTCCCCCGTGTAAATAAATAGATTTCTCAAATACTTTATTTATCCAAGAACAATTCTGAAGCTCCATTTTATGTAAAATACACTATTTGGGGGAAGCATACGTTTAAATCATGCTGTCTCAGTGTAAACAACCTAGAAGCCAGCCACTGAACCAGTAAAGTGGATCGTAAGCCTTATCTTTTATAAATATGGAAATTCTCCTAGATTATGGGTTAGAAAAGAATATTTTCCTATCCTAACAAGAGCAGTGGTTCTGCATATAGTCTGCGAATTGTTTGCATCTCAAAATATTTTGAACTAGAGTTGAGCTATGCTGACATATGAGCTGAATTTTATGAATTAAATTGCTTCTCTCCATCTGCAAGAGCCACCTGGTATTACTGGTGATGTAGTGAAAAATTCTAGAAGTCTGAAAGTTCTCAATCTGAAAAGCCTGAAAATTCTGTTTCTGTTTTTATACATACCACAGGATCTTCAGGAATCTAAAAGGAGAGTCACTTAATATTTTTAGTTAATGCCATTTTTGTTTTTATTTCAAGCTATAAGCTCCAGTGCAACTGATGATAAATTAGGGGTTCTTCGAGATTTAAGGCAGTACTGTAGATAAATCAGTATATTCATTTTTGCTTCCCTCTCCTACTCCAAGACAGTTTCTTAAACACTTTCCTATATGTTATGTGTATGCTGTGTGTGTGTGTGTGTGTGTGTGTGTGTGTGTGTGTGTTTGTGATTTCAAGCATAGGTATGACCTTAGTATACCCAAACTTTCCTTCTTATTCTACTCTCCTCACTCTCAGACTTACCATTTTATGTTCACAGTTTTTTTTTAAACACTGAGTATTTGAGAGAAATGAAATCTTGCACAGAACAGGTGAAACAAAACTTGTCCGGTAGGTAACTGAGGGGGCAATATATGGAACTGTGCCTGCCATCTTTCCTGCCTCCTGTACGTATTCACACCCATCCTTTTCCCACTTGTAGAAAAACCCTCAAAGGTCACTTTTGGAAAGAAAATGTTGTCCCAGAAAAAAGGAAAAATTTTTTGAACCAACCTAATGTACTAGAACTTTGGGAATCTGGAGAGAGATAATAGCAGTAAAAAGAGAAACAGAGTTTGACCTGAATTATCAATCAGACTCTGTCTCAGCAATGACATGACATCTGGCAAACTGGTCTCAAAGATTCACGTATCTTGCTTATCAAAGGAAACCAACTATCAGACAGACAAAATTAGATTTGCTTACTGTATACTACAGAAAAGTGTTGACATTATCATCAGCATTCATTCATTCATTCATTCATTCATCCTGGCACATACTTATTGAGGACTTACTATGAGCAGAAACCATGCTAGTTTCCAGAAAATCAAAAATAAAAAGACACAGTCCCTGCCTCATAGAACTTGTAGTGAGAAAGTCCTGCAAGTCTGCTTGGGGAATCAAGGAAGGCCTTCCAGAAACATTTGCACAGTACCCAGAAGAAAGAAGACTTGTGACAGGTAATTTAGAGGGGAGGAAAGTTTGTGCTATAAGAGCAGGCAATCTGCTTTGGACCTTGGGTGTCTAGCTAAAGCTTTTACACATTGAGAGCTCTGCTCTCACCTTTAATTCCACTTTATTTGGCTGCCTCACCACGATGCTCCCCATATTCCCTGCTTCAGAAAAAACATCTGCATCACAACTCTCCCACAGTTTTTTATAGCTGTCTGTGTAAATATCTCTTATCATTACTACACTGGAAACTGTTTATTCCAAACTGATGTCTTTGGATAGTGACTGACAAATAAATGGCATCCACTTAATAGTACTGAATGAAGGCATGGATATTTTAATAAAAAAATAACAGGGGTGGTACAGGAAAGAGAGGTGACAGCAGGCAAATAGTGCTTGCTTACTTTAATGTTTACTTTGGGGCTTGTTCAACATAAGGAGAAATCTGTTCTCCAACCTGCTCTTTTATGTAAATATGAAAAGCAAAGCCTTTCAAAATTATGAGTTGAGATGGGGTACGATTCTCCCACTTTAAAAGGAGCAGTAATCTGTAAATAGCTTGCACTCTGCTATATTCCCTGCACCCCCACACCCTTCATGGAGGATGGGAATCCTGTAAGTTCTCGGGGCTTTGGAATATGGCTGCTATTCCTCATGCACTCAAGGTAGGTGTGATTTCAAAATTTGATCTGTGCAAGACAAACATTTCTGAGCAATGAGACATCCCATGAATAGCAATGAATAAAGGGATGCTAATGTGAAAAAGGAATAAACAATACAAGGTTTAGAGTACATCTGTACAATAGGGTTTTGTTCCCCATGGGCCTGGGAAACAAAGTTATCTCTGGGAGAAATGAGCTCACACACACACACTTTTTGTTTTTCCATTTAACAAGCTCACAAATCAATCTGATTATCATCCAGCAATTCAACTAGGATCTGCTTTACATCCCATAAACAAACACTTCTGGTTTTACCTTTTTGGGTTCTGGCATATTATTAATATAAATAGTGTAGATTCCACTTTTATTAAAACCAGCTTGATATACATCTGCACAGTCTCTAAATGGTTTTTCTTCCTCTCTTTTTCCTCCTTTTAGCAAAACTGCAAAAAAAAAAAGATTGCAATATATGAATATCAGTACCTTTAACACCCACATGGACTTCAAGAGTAGCTAAACATGACTTCATTCTCTCAACATAAAGATCAATATTGCATTTACTGAAAACTAAACATAAAGACAATATCAGATTTTTACAGGTGATTTACAAAATTTAGAAATGGGAAAAAGTTACAAGGCAATTTCTAACTGTATATTTATATTTTACTTGGGATGGGGATGTGGCTCAAGTGGTATAGGCTTGCCTGGCATGCGTGGGGCTCTGGGTTCGATTCTCAGCACCACATAAAAATAAAATAAAGATGTTGTGTCCACTGAAAACTAAAAAATAAATATTAAA